CTATAGTCTTTACCTACGCTGCGAAACATAATAAATTCAACGGTACAGTGAAAAATGTGCTGCTGTTACGGATACTACCTAAAATCAATTGTTCATTTAAGTTTCATTTATTTTACATCAGACAATATTTTTTTTATAAGTTATTATATCATAGATACGCATTTCATTATTAAATATTAAGTACTGCTGATAACATAATTTGAAGGAATTACATTTCTCTCTTTCTTGGTAAATATCACAGCAGATTCTTGGACCTTCAAATTTGTCAAGTACATCATAGGTGCATGCAAGTAACTCTAATATTGTTTTCATTTATGTAATTTCTTTTTTAATAATAAAAATGCACTACATATATGTATATATAAAGAATTACACTATTGCTACCAACCAATTAGAATAATCCTAAGCGTAACTTAAAATATTTATTACAAAGATTTACAATTTCATCACATGTAATAATCTATAATTGACAAGCTTTGTTTGCATTAAAGTAAGTTCAAAGGAACGTTGCATCAAACTACCGCTCATGGATTGGATAATTCAATTCAATGTAAAGCTAAATAATTGGATCGAAATTAAATTTAAATTTATATTTTACTTTAAAATTAGCTTGGGTTTTTATATATTTAAATTTAAATAATTACATTAGATTTTAAAATCAAACTCATATTTTTAAAAAGAAAATATTTTGATATTTGTAAATTGATTTGATACCAATTTTTATTTCAAAATCAATTAAGTTCAAAAAAATGAAAATTGTTATATATATCTTCTAAATTTAATTTTAGAATAAAATTTTGTTGAAATCATTCGTATCTCATAAAATCTATAGTTAATTAATAATTTATAGAAACGAATTAATTTGTTCATAGTTAATATAGAGTCAGGTATATAATGTTTAATGTGTCATTAAATTTAAGTACACATCACCTACTAATGAGATTAAATGATGTAGAGTTTCTAATAAGATCGAATGTAGAGTTTAGTGGTAAAACCTGAGCAAGACATGAATTAAATCTTTTAAAAATCTAATTCAAATATATTTTAATAAAGATAATTGAATTGAAAAAAAAAATCTAAATAATCGGAGTATATTTTAAATCCAAAGTAATGTGTGTTTGTCTATTGAAGGTGGCCCATGAGTTTTACAATGGCATTGGATGGAAGAAGGCAGAGAGTGTGAAGATGGTTGTGTCTTCACACAACTTGAAAAATACTCCGTCTGTGGAGGAAATCGGTAACCTTGCTGCTACAATTCAAGCTTCAGGGGCAGATATAGTGAAGATTACTACAACTGCCTTAGACATCACAGATTCTGCACGTCTTCTCCAAGTCCTACTACACTCTCAAGTAACTTCTCTTCTATATTCATTTATGTTTATCGTAAATTAAATGTTAATTGCTGCACTTAGATAAAAACATTAATTACTGAAAAGTGATTTTATCCTTTCTTTATAGTACAGATATGGTTTCAAAACTTCAGGTGGAATGTAAATCACGTGCTGAGTTTGATTAATTGAATAACTGCAGGTTCCAATGATAGGAATTGCAGTTGGTGAGAAGGGGATTTTGTCAAGGGTACTCTGCGCAAAATTTGGAGCATTTCTCACGTTTGGTTCAATTGAGGATGGTGCTGTATCAGCTCCTGGGCAACCAACTATCGAAGACTTGTTGGATTTGTACAATTTTAGACACATTGGGGTTGACACTAAAGTACACGGTGTTATAGGAAATCCTATCAGTCATAGCAAAAGTCCTCATCTTTATAATGCAGCTTTCAAGTCTATGGGATTTGATGGAGTTTACTTGCCTTTCTTGGTCGATAATGTCTCAGATTTTCTCAGCACTTACTCATCTCTTGATTTTGTTGGATACAGGTATGATGGTATCCTACAAGATTCTTCTAATTAACACATGGTTGAATAAAGCCATTCCCGTTTTTCTATACTTTCCCTTGGTGTTATTCACCTGTAACTTTATTCTTAATATACTTTAGAACATAAGTAAATGATCTATATAAAGCTTATTTAATAGAGTCCTGGTCACAAAAATTTAGCAAGATCATGTAATGATTACGTCAAAATTATGGTTTCAATCTCACGATTGCTAGTTCTTTAACGAAAACAGTTACACGATTCCTCACAAGGTGGATGGACTTAGATGTTGTGATGAAGTCGATCCTATTGCTAAGGTATTTACTATTTGACCTTAAGAAACCTCTGTCCATTTTTTCTATCATTTGAACTTAATTTACCATCCTATTCAAATCATTTTATCAGGCAATAGGAGCTATTAGCTGCATGATTAGGAGGCCGAGTAATGGAAAACTGATAGGTTATAATATGGATTATCTTGGGGCCATTGCAGCTATTGAGGAACGACTACAGGGTTTATACATAAGTTTCTGTATTTTGTTTGCAGATATTGAGGAAGGACTATGCAGGGTTTTGTTTTACTTATAGGCTTTTTGTTACAATTGTTTGCAGATTCAAACGGACGATCCATGTCTGGTTCACCTTTATATGGTAAACTGTTTGTGGTCATAGGAGCTGGTGGGGCAGGAAAGGCACTAGCTTTCGGTGGAAAACAAAAGGGTGCAAGAATAGTTGTTGCTAATCGTACATATTGTGAGAAAGTGTTGTTGGCTTAGTTTAATAATTCATTCATTGTCATGAATGAAGATGAGGAGCATAATCTGTTTATTTTGTTTGTTATCAGCCAAAGCCCAAGAACTAGCCAACAGAGTGGGAGGAAAGGCTATTACTTTATCTGAATTAGAGAACTTCCACCCAGAACAAGGCATGATTCTCGCAAATGCTACTTCTGTTGGAATGGAACCATATATTCACGAGTCACTCGTACCAAAGGTTTGCTGTTAGTGTTGCATATTCTGATATTACCAGAAGAAGTTACTCTAAAATGTAACACTAACGATAGTTTCTGAGAAGTTGGTTCTAAAAGGATCTATAATTTTAAATTATAAACGTCATGCAACATATGTTGTTTCAATGTTTTAACAGGAAGCCTTGAAACACTATTCCTTGGTATTTGATGCCATTTATACACCAAAATTGACAAGACTCCTTCGAGAAGCACGAGAAGTTGGTGCTGCCATCGTCTATGGTACAGAAATGTTCATCAATCAAGCATTCGTGCAGTTTGAAAGGTTCACAAGGTTGCCAGGTTAGACAAGAACGAAAGAATAGCACAGTAATAACAAATAATTCGCTTTTATCAAATTTCTTACATGAATTCGCTCTATCCGTTACAGCTCCAAAGCAACTCATGAGGGATGTTCTGGCAAGAAATACCTGAGAATAAGATATATCAAGATAAGGTATATGGAAAGGACTTGTGATCTGTTTTTAACCTTCACTCCCTCAAATGCATTAATTTAGATTCTTTTATGAGTATTAGTGCATTTAAAGTATTGTCTCTTTTAGATATTGTAACTTTTTCATGATTTTGTCTTTTAAGAATGTATCAAATAAAGGTGATGATATATTTCAATTGCCTCACTTCTCCATTTCACCAATTACGAGATAAGGAATTGAGAATTTGTGTTTGGAATTTCGTTGTTTTTCTCATAAATAATAGCAATGTTTTAGCTTTAAATTTATTAGGATAATATCATCCATAGAGTTAAGATATTGTCTATATAGAAACGGGAATCTCTATTATAATTTTGTCAAGAAACGTGAAAGAGAGATAGTCTATTTAAATTTCTCTTAACTATAATTTTTAAATGGATGAAAGATTATTGGACATATCGAAATATATTATATATAATGTAAATAATAAAAAAACACTAATCCATTATTATTTTTTTCTAATCTTGAATATAATTGTCATATTTTAAAATTTGTAACTTTATATGAAATGGGTTTGTAACCATAGCTAATCTCTACTCATTTTTTTAAGTTAACTATAATTTCATCATTCCTATCAACTTATCATTATAAAAGATGTAGAAGATATAATTATCCATTAATGCTATAACTGTACTTTAAGATAAAATTACCCATCAATATTTGGTATCAATTTCACGAATGTAAATAGCATCTTATTTAAAACATAATTTTTATGTTTTGTTTCCTTCTCTTTATTACACTTTTTATACTTTATGTAACTCACTTTTATTTATAAAGGTAACTAATTGTGGATCTTTTCTTTTATAAAAATGTTTATATATCAATTTTTATTGGTGGTAAGACAGAGAAGTGAAATAGGTACTGTTAAACTAACTACAATTATATCACTTTCTTATTATTTACGAAAAAATAATAATATTTTGGCAGTTTGACATGCAACTGCCCAGAAATAAAATTTCTGCCCAAAATTCTAGGTTAGAACCGCGATTATATTTAAATATTTTTCCTAGTTTTGCATTTTGCATGATGGACATAATAACATCAATGCAGAAATTGAACTTCATGATCACATGGTTGCAAATAATACATGTTTTTTAAAAGAAGAAAAAACGAGGACGACTTAAATTTACAGTATAATTACGAGGACTTCAAAAGGTCTTTAATTGAAAAATGAAAATTATAGTATTGCATAATGTCAAGAAAACCTAAATGGGAAGTTACAAGGTAGGCTTGAAAGTAGGGATGACAAATGGTGAGGTCAGACATAAATAATGTTTATCCAAAATTTAATCTGTAAATGAAAATTTAATCTGTAACTTAGCTTGTTATTTGCACGGATACTTATTTTAAAAAAATTCAAGTATATTTTAAAACTCAAATATATCTACTAATATTAAAAATATATATTTTATACATTTTTAAAATAAAATTAAAAAAATATATAAAATATGTTTTCTAAAAACGCAGACCACTTAAAATTGATAGTATAATTACGAAGACTTCAAAAGGTCTTTAATTAAAGCATTACTCTTCTCATTTTCCCTCTCAGTTTTGATTTCCACTCCCGCCAGAAAGTGCCCTCTCCTTTAGAGTGCCATCTCCTTTATATGTTTTCTTGATTAGCTAGGTTTCACATTTTCTTTTTCCTTCAACATCTCAACGCCACTGAGGCCATCTCTGTTTTTTCTTATTCTTTACAGATTCAACAAAGTCCAGAACGAAGCCTTGTTTTCTTCCGTATGTGAAAATCAGTCCCTCGCTTCTCAATTTTGATCCATATTTAGGATTCCAAACCAGGTACCATTTTTATTTGACCCTTATCTGCCCTGTTTTCTGCTTAACAATAGACGTATTTCGTACATGATTCACACATTTACCATGTTTAGTTTAAGCACTGCATGAATTTTCGGTTGATAGGTTTAATTTTGTCGTGTTAGGGTTGTTTGTGTCAAGCAGGTGAAAATCACGGTGCTTCTCGTGGACTGTGAATAGGTCAAATTGCACAAATTTTACTTTCTAGGTTTTACAGTGAGGTTAACAGAAATTTGGGCGTTTGGATTTTGATTTGAATTCTGTCATGGAGTGCAACAAGGATGAGGCTTTGAGGGCCAGAAAAATTGCTGAAGCTAGAATGCAAAGTGGTGAATTTCAAGAGGCTCTCAAGTTTGCTACCAAGGCCAAAAACCTTTATCCGGATGTGGGAAACATCAGCCATGTTCTTACGATTTGTGAGGTTCATAATGCTGCACAGAGAAAACTCTCTCCCTCTGAAATGGATTGGTATGCGATTCTTCAGATTGAAAGACTGGCGGATGAAACAGCCATAAAGAAACAGTACAAGAGGCTTGCACTCCTACTTCATCCTGATAAAAATAAGTTTGGTGGTGCAGAAACTGCTTTCAAATTGGTTGGGCAAGCCAATGGGGTTTTGAGTGACCAAGCAAAACGTTCTTTGTATGACAAGCAGTTTGCTGTCTCTGTGAAAAGCCGACCTGTGCCGAAATCCGCGGATTCCAAGAAGAAAGCTGACCAGAATACATTCTGGACATGTTGCCAACATTGTAAAACTAACTACCAGTTGTTCATGCCGTTTGTGAATTCAACCATAAGCTGCAAACAGTGTTTGAAGTTCTTTAAAGCTTGTGCTATTCCTTTGGTAAATATCCAGAAGAAGTCTCCAATGCATGGTCCCCGAAAACCAGCCTCTGAAAGTACCGGTGGAAAAACCCCTGGTGGAGGAGAACATGCTAGTGCGTTTGTAAGGCCAAATCCTATGTCTATGAAAAAATGTTCTTCTGGCGTTGGTGGTCCTCCATGCACAGGCGCGGAATCACAAACTTCTAAAAATGTTGGAAGTAAAAGAGTTAGGCAGTCAGCACCAGACTCAGGAAAAAGTTTCAAAGCTGGTAATATTTATGAGATGAAAGATGCTTATGTTCGAGAAAACGATATTGATCCTTCAGGACTTGATGCAGGGAGATCTTGTAGACAAAAGCAACATGTTTGATGCGTGGAAACTTCTGAAAGTGACGATTTTGAGGTCCCTTCCAAGGGTAAAAGCTTTTTATAAGCATCTACAGTTTTATTGTAGTGAATTTGATGCATCATGTTGGTATGACAATGCACTGACCAAGGAAAATAATTTGAGCATGCTTGTATGTACTGTCAAACTTCTCAAATTGCTACTTAAAAGTGCTATGATAACTTAAATTGAAATATATTTGAGAACTACTTAAAAGCGTCTAAAAGCGCCATGTAAGTATCCAAGAACTACTTCAAAAATGTTTAACCATAACACATAAGCTCAAATAAATAATCTAAGAACTATTTTAAAAAGTATTTAATCATAACACATGAGTTCACATAGAAACACATCCAAAGACTACTTGGTTCACCTACTTTCAAACTTTCAAGGTTTATGTAATACCCTCTAATATATGATGAAACATCTCCAACATATTATCTTCAATATATTATGAGATATTATGAAATATCTCTAAGATGTTTAAAGAATAAATTATTATTATATTCTATTATATCTCCAAGATATTTACAAGTAATATTTTATGATATAATAATTAATCATCTAATATCTTTAATTTATAAATAATATTTTGATATAATAATTGATTATCTTTATAAAGATCTAAAGAAATAAAGTTTCTTTAGTATATCTATATCTCTTTATAAATGGGATTAAGAAACTTATACATATAGCATTCTATCATACACCCAACATTAACACTCAATATCTCTCATTCACTGTTTTACACTATACATAAATCTTTTAAACTCTTAATGACTCCAATTTCAAAAAATCTTTTGCAAATGAAGGTCACTTTAATTTTTCATGGAATTTCGAAACTTTCACATCAAAAGAAGTATTATATCTCAAGTCACAAAAATTTGTTTAATATATCTACATTTCTTTATCCATGGGATTAAGAAGCCTATAAATATAATACACCACCGTAGGGAGTGCTTACTCAATTCTCACACTCAATATCTCTCATTTACTATTTTATACTTTATACAAATCATTTAAACTCTTAATGATTATGTCTTTTGCAATTGAATCTAATTTTGAGTTTTCTTATAAATACAAAGCTCTCTTATCAAGAAACAACAACTCAACTCTTAAAATCCTAGTAATCCATCTCAATGACATTCACCAAATTCAATAAGAACAAATTTTAAAATAGACATGTAATAGTGCTTGGTTATAGTCTAGAATTTTGAAAAAAATATAACACAATACAACTAAAATAAATATTTATTTTTCTAATATACTGTGTATATCTCGAATTAATTACTCATTTATCAAATTCATTTAGCGAAATCACACAAGTTCACACTAATTAAAAGTATTAGTTAATTTGAAAAATATATTTATAAAATAAATAAATGTACTACATTTTTAAATTATCTTCAATCACTTTTATGAGAAATTATATTTGAGTTTAGACAAAAATATTTTTGAAAAAATATCATTAGATAGAGTTTTGAAAGTTGAAATTTGCTTATATTTACATTTTAGTTCATTGACATTTTTTCTATATTTGAGTTAAAGGAAATATCAGTGAAGGATTTTCTTTAAGAATAAAAAATTAAAGCAATAGTTGTATAATATAACTATTAATTTATTTTTTAAATATTGCCATTATTATTATATTTTTAATTTTTTTAATTAAATGAACTGATGCTCTCAGTTCTCAATAAAAGCTTCTTTTCTTATATCTAAATTAATTAATCTTTTTTTGATAAAAATAATTTCTCTCTCTCTATATGTATTGTTTTAGTGATGTTAATTATAATAACACTACAATTTTATTTAAATTTAAATGTAAACTTAACTAATTTACAAATATTATTAAGAACAGTACTTTCAATCATATTGATTGAGACGATGTTCATATTTAAACATAATGGTATATAGTTTTAAAGAAAAACTAATAGGGTTCAATTAATTACATTAAAGTACATACATAATAGAATAAAGCTAGTAAAATAGATTAGGGTAAAAAGTAACTAATGTTATTAACTGCCATATTCTATATTCTGTATTCTACAGAAAAATCTTATCTTTTCTTAAAATGAAAAACAAAAAAGAAAAAGAAAGTAAAGAAAAAGTATTTGTTTATTTTAAAAAAACATTGCATAAAGTCAAAATAAAATTTATAATCTCAAAAATAATAAATAATTTAAGTATTCGTACGAAATTATTCTTATATTTATTGTGAAAATAATAATTGATGTAATCATGAATAAACACACGAAAATCCCATGTTCCCTCCCACTCATTTAGCATTTTTGTCTTTCCCTCCTTTGCCTTTTAAATTTTTTTTATTTGGAGCTTGGCTCCCGCTTTCAGGCGCTCTCAGGCTTTCTTTGTTATAATGTCTCTCTCTCTCTGCTTTCTCAGTGCTTCTCCTCATTCGAGTGGGACCTCTTCATTTTAGGGTTTTGGTTTCTCTCCCAACCAATAACTTCCACAATCAAGTTTTGTTATGTTCAGTGTTTCTTCGCATTTGATTCGTGTTTCTTTACTGTTCTAAAAAACCAGGTTGGTACCTTTTGTCTTAACTTTTAATTGTCGAATGCCTAATTTAAATGCTTTGTGAGCATGTGCGTTGATTCGTGCACGTACTATGTTTTGCTTAAGCACTGAATAAGATCCTGTTAGGTTTTATTTCATCGCGTTAGGTTTATTTTGTGTATCATGTGAGAATATTGTGCTACTTGTGTATTGGGAATAGGTATAATTACAGAAATTGCCCTTTCTACAATTTAAAGCGAGGTTTAGAGAAATAAGGGTGGTTGGATTTTGATTTGAATTCCTCCATGGAGTGCAACAAAGATGAGGCTGTGAGGACTAGGAAAATGGCCGAAGCTAGAATGCAAAGTGGTGATTTTGTGGATGCACTCAGATTGGCTACCAAGGCTAAAAAGCTGTATGCTGATGTTGAAAACATTACTCAGATTCTTACCATCTGTGAGGTTCACAATGCTGCCAATAAAAAGGTCTCTGCCACTGACATGGACTGGTATGCGATACTTCAGATCGAAAGATTTGCTGATGAAGCAATCATAAAGAAACAGTACAGGAGGCTCGCACTGCTACTTCATCCTGACAAGAACAAGTACGCTGGTGCAGAAGCTGCTTTCAAGTTGATTGGGCAAGCCAATGGGGTCTTGAGTGACCAAGAAAAACGTTCTTTGTATGACAGCCGGCTCGGAATCTCTGTAAGAGGTGCTGCGAAGAAATCCACTGCAAAACGTGGTGTAGAAAAATGTCAGAGAAGTTCTGAATCACAACGTAGTTCACATGAGAATGTGTTCACTGCAAAGCGTGATGAGCATGCAACAAATTATCAGAAGAATTCTTACCCTAACTCCGCTGATTCCAACAACCAAGCTGGGCCGACATTCTGGACAACTTGCCCACATTGTAGTGTTAAGTTCGAGTACTCCATACGATATGTGAATGTGAACTTATTGTGTATGCAGTGCATGAAATCATTTAAAGCTCAAGTTTTTAATTTTGGTGCTCCACCGCCACAGCCAAAGTTTACTTCAGTAAATATCCAGAAAGAGGCTCCAATTCCTGGTCCCCCAAAACCAGATTCAGAAAGCACTGTTCAGAAACCCCTTGTTAGAGAACGTACTGCCAGGTTTGTGCGGTCAGATACTACATCTATGAAAAAATGTGCTGCTGGAGTTGGTGCTCATTGTGAAAAGAGTAAAGATGGCTCTGTTCCTGCATCCAAAGTCATGGAGCCACAATGCTCTAAAAATGTTGGAAGTAAGAGAGTAAGACAGTCAGCACCAGATGCAGGAAAAAGCTTCAAAGATAGAAACAGTGGTGAGATGAGAGATGCTAATGTTCAAGAAAATGATCTTGATCATTCAAGAGCTGGTGCAAGGAGATCTTCAAGGAAAAAACAGCGTGTTTCATATACCGAAACCTCTGAAGATGAAGATCTTGAATTTCCTTCCAAATCGCCACGACAAAATGAACCGCCTAAAACCGATGACGTTGAGAATAAGACTGTTCCGGCAACAAATGGAGCGTCCAACAGCAACAATCCAGCTACTTCAACTGCTGGTGTGGCTGATCAGAACACGGAGAATGTATCCGAGTCAAAAGAGCATAACTGCCCTTCACCGGATTCAAATATTCCTTCTAGTCCAAACATCCTTTCTTGTTTTGACGCAGAATTCAATGATTTCGAAATGGACAAGGAGGCGGATCGCTTTGGTGTTAATCAAATATGGGCAGCGTATGATAGCGGTGATGCGATGCCAAGATTTTATGCTATAGTCAAGAAAGTGCTTTCCCCTTTCATGTTGAAGATTACTTGGTTGGAGGCTGATCCAGATGACGATGAAGAGCTTGATTGGCAGGATGCAGATTTGCCTATTGCCTGCGGTAAGTTCAGACTTGGTAGTTCTCAGAAAACTACAGATCGTACTATGTTCTCTCATCAGGTGCGGTGTGTAAAAGAAACTGGCAGAGGTTCTTATATGGTATATCCCCGTAAAGGAGAAACATGGGCAATTTTCAGAGATTGGGATATCAACTGGAGTTCTGATCCAAATAAACATTTAGCGTATGACTATGACTATGTGGAGATCTTATCAGACTTTTCTGAAAACGTGGTCATCGCTGTTGCCTATCTGGGCAAAGTGAAAGGATTTGTTAGCCTCTTTCAGCAAACTTCAGAGAATGGAGCGGTCAATTTTTATGTCCGGCCTCATGAGCTTTATAGGTTCTCGCATCAAATTCCTTCTTATAAGATGTCTGGTAATGAGAGGGAGGGTGTTCCAAGAGGATCTTTTGAATTTGATCCTGCTGCCTTGCCTTCTAATCTCTTTGAAGTTGGTGATTCGGGTAATTTGAAGATGAATAGCTGAAACAACAGAGTAGAGGCTGATGAAAGTAATTTTGCTTGAACTGGTTCCCTTATCCTTGTACGTTCGTCAAGGGGACAATAGAAGGACGGTTAATAGTCAAGAAGCGTAAAATGGTACCTGCTCCATGCTAGGCTAACGAGGGGAGTGAAGTGTCATGAAGAAATTGAAGACAGATGATTTCTTCGTTTTGTATTTTGATTTAACCCATAAATGATTTTCCCTCTGTAGCTTTTTGTTAGTCCGTCCTTTCTGATTTTTCCATGGCATGGCAGTTTCTTGATTTGCCTTGTTAGCATGGGTGACCACCTAGGATCCACTTTCATGTTTGTCTATCTTTGGAATCAAATCAACTTTTAGATATATTATTTGATGGTGGTTCTTATAATTATAACCCATTCTCAATCCAAGCTAAAATATTCATGTTTGCAGCCCAAATGTCCTTGTTTCCAGTCTTTAAAAAATAATTTTAAACATTTTATTGAATAGATTAGATACCTAAAGTAATAAATCATCAGTTCACTTCAGTTCACAATTTACTGAAATTGAGACGTATGTTATGCAAATTCTGTTTGAATAAAACTGAAAGATATAATAATTCATACTCAGTGGGCATACAAAAAAAAACTTAATCTAGGAGTTGATTGAAAAAAAAGTGGAAGAAAGGCTCTAATTTAAATTTGAATAATTTAGTTTGGAGACCGAACTAATATTACACTTAATGCATCTAATGTAGTTCGATCTATGTAGTTAACTAGTTGCGCATATATCATATATTTGTTTAATCTGATCATTGGTGATTTTGGTTCCTTTAATTTTAATTGTTCTGATTAAATTTTAATAATTTTCAGACTAATGAAATTCAATTCAAATATTAATATTGTCTAGCTTTTAACATTTGAGCGTGAATTAGATTGACAGGACAATGAATTCAAATAACATGCCATTTCACGACATGAATTGTCACGTTATAGAGGCTAGTAACATTGAAGATCTCATTGTTATTAGATTTTTCCTTTTTGACAATATCATTCTTATTAGCTAACTATATCCATAAGTAGAAAAAAAAAGTACTAATGGTGAAGTCAAATTTATAGTTTTAACGAATCGTAATGTGGTGTGATGAAACGACATTACAATACTAAAAGTATAACTATAAAGTATTTAACCAAATTTCATTAATTAAAAAACTACAGAAACTAAATTTAAGAAATGCAGATTTTAATGACTAAAATTACAGTTTTTTCCATCTGAAATAATGAAAAAAAGTACAATTAAGTCTTTATCTCATGTATTCTAGAATAATTGTATCAAAGACAGTATTTGAACTAAGACAATCTTTTATTCGATTGTTTCTTAATAAAAGAAAAGACATTTAAATTTTCATAAATCCCATTAATAAAAATTGAAAAACATTTATTCTTGTATTATAAGTTAGAACACAGAAATTAAAAAAATAAATAAAGCTTAGTCTCTCGACTGTATTAGTTAGGTTTTCTAATATTTTCTTAATAAATTTCAATGTGTATTTTCCACATTATTTATGTGGATAATTTTTTCCTCGATCATTTCAGATTATCTCCTTTCTATTTGTTATTATTATTTTTTTTATCTCCAACCCTAAATTTAATTATATTACCTTTTCTAAATTATCTTCATTTCAAATTATTCATTAAACATAAATATGATTTAAAGAATCAAAGATACCTTCTAGAACTTTTTCTACTATCTTAAGAAGGCATTAGATAGATGTAAATAGTTTAATATTTTGAAAATAATAAAAACAACCAATAATTCTTATATTTAAACTGTATTCCGCAATTATATTTTAATTAAAATGTAGTTTGAAATAATATATGTTTTATTCTTAAATATAGTTTGAAATAACACAGCCAATAAACCTTAAAATATTTATATTTGTAAACATTCTTTATCTGAATATTTAGAAGGTAGTGATAATTGATTATAAAATCAAACAATGGTTAGTTCAAGTAGATATATCTTTTAAATATATTTTTTCCTTTACAAGACGAATTATAGTAATTCCAATAATTTGAAATAATATATTTTGATTTTTCAATATTTTAGATCGATATTTAAAATAGAAATGTGTTCAACAATATAAATAACTTAAACATTGCTTGAAATGTCATTTAATACATCATAATTGAATTAAGAAAACTATATTTATACCAGATTATATCCACATTTGAGAAAATTTCAATTTTGCATCCAAATTTAAAATGAAAAAAAAAACACTATAACAATTCTATGTTATCATTGCAAATATATGAAATTATTAGACTTAAACGTGATTGTGACTACATCACATAAAAATAATATCATTAAATCTTCATTTAAATTTATCTTATGAAAGAATATGTATATAAACAGTACAAAATATTATGTAAATAATTTATAAAATTATAATCATGATTGTATCATAAGAACACGGAATACACGATTGAAGAGCGCACTACCCTTCAAGACAAAATTGAGGAGTTAATCTGAACACGTCACCTTAAGAAGTATATTAAAACCAAACGGGAGGAGAGGAGCCCGCCTTGTAAGCGAAATTTCGAGAGATGTTCTCGTCATACTTCAACAGGAGAAGAAGTAAATACCGCCCACTTCAAGGTCACATTAACACAGTATGAGATAGTGCCTTCTCTAGGTACCTTTCTAGTAGGACCAATTTGATACAAAACCAGGACTTCTGGACATCATTCAAACTTTCACAAAATATCATAGCTTAGACATTTGATCTTAACCTCGTACTCGAAACACTTTCCAACAACTTCTTCTATTATCTTAAAAAATGTAAATAGTCTAATATTTTTAAAATAATAAAAGCAACCAACCATTATTATATTTAATAAAACATAATAATTATATTTTAACAACATAATAAGAAATAGTACATTTTTTATCTCTAAATATAGTTTGAAATAAAACGATAAATAAATAAGTCTTAAAATGTTTATATTCGTAAACATATTTTATTTAAAGTACTGAAAAGGTAATGATCATTGAATACAATATCAAAGGATGTGATTCAAGTATAGGTAAATTTTTAAAGATATTGTAAATGTATTTTTTCCTTGACAAATAAGACGAACCATGGTAATTCAAAAATGTTTATATCCTCTTCTATCGCTATCTCTTGATTTTGTTCTGTACATGTCTCTATCTCTATCTCTTTTCCTGTTCCTATCTCGATTCCTATCCTTATCCTTACATGTCTCGCCAATGACCTCACTTCTACAGTCAGACTTGGACTTCAGTACGTGTTCCTCTTTTGTCATGTCTTTCGATTCATCATCAGACATTCTAGAATCTTTGCAGACTGGTATATATTGTGTCTTTGGAAGGCTATAAAGATGAGCCAAAACCCTGCAGACTTCATCAATCTCAGATTTCTCCCCGTCAAATGCTTTCCACCATGGCGGGTTCTCAGGAAGGGGTACATGGAACCTACGAGCAGCAGCATATACAACTCCACAAGCCACCACCTCACTCTTAAATCGAACACACAATGTAGTTCTCAAACTGCATGAAAAAAGTGTCAACGAAGCACACAAACGCACTAGCAGAAAAATAAAACTAATATCTGCAATTATGTACCTATCATTAGCCAGATTCCAAGCTTCTTGCCTCAATTCTGGAGGTGTTTCAAGGATAGCAAGGTAGGTTGGTATAAATTTATGAGGAGGTTCAACGTGACAAATGAATCCCGTTTCTTTCAAAATATGTCTTTCTGTTACCCTCAATTCCATTTTTAAATCAACATATTTCTGTTCATCAAGAAAACCGAAAACATTCAAAATATGAAATAATTAGAATTGTTGAAATGAATAAGGGTGTCGTGAAATAAGTGTGTTTTTGAAGTTCAAATGACATCAAATTATCACAAAAAAAATGGAATTCCAATAGTAGTTATGTGTATTATATGCTAAGAAAAGTAAAAATTAGAAGCTTCTGACCTTGGAACACAAGTATAAATGCTCCATGGGAAAGTTCTCCTTCCTGCACTCCATCCTGTGAAAAACAATAATTACTTGTCTGGCTTTTCTAGGATTTTCCTCTAGTTTTGAAGCCAACCATACACAGCTTGCAGCAACTTTCTGCAAAGAGACGCTATGAGCGTAATAATTCACAAAATATGAAAGAAGACAAAGAAGATAATATATGACAAGATGATAATGACCTTGACATCGAACCGTGCAAACGACTTCTTGCAATAGAAACGATGAAATAGAATCTGCCCAGTAGCCATGACTGCTTGTGGCCTGTCTAAGAATTAAGGTAACAATTTGGAACAAGCATTGATGCAAAATGAAAATGAACACAATCAAAAGGATACAATCTAAGCAAAATGCCACTCTCTTGGACAAGATCACAGCCATAGATTCTAAGGGTGGTCTCCGTGGCTTCATCTATGCCATCTTTTCTAGAAGGTGAGTTTGCTAGCTGCTCGTCCGTGACATAGAAGGTGTCGATTGCTGTGTATATCATCCCTCTTTCTTTATCCTGAGATAAGAACAGGAACAGTTTTGTGCATGAAATTTTAAAACTCTGCCAAAACTTTAGAGTGAATCAAGAAGATAAGAAGATAGGAGCATTACACTATTAAATTCTTCTATTATAGGTGGTTGGAAAAGAAATTCATAAATTTGTTGTTTTTGTGACGAGTTAAAATCTATGATCAAGACACTAAACCGTTCCAACAATGTAATTATCCGTATAAGAATCATCAAAATTAAAATTAATGAAAAGATTAGTTCAGGGTAAATTAATTAAAAACTTTCTATTAAAAAACATTTCAAAATATAGTATAGTTTAAAGATAACTAAATTTTCTTTAGATCTAATAAACTTATCATTTTTGAAACTTATATTATATCTAAAAATTATTATATAATAAACATTTCATTCCTAATATGTGTATTTGATTCAAAATATTAAAAAGAAATGCATTTGTTCTTACTGAATTTGAGCTTGTAGTATCCAAGTAGGGTATGAGACTCTTCCGGTGGAGCTTTTGCCCAGTAAAGAGAAAAAATGTATGATATGAGAATAATATTGAATGAGAATTGAATAAGAATTCTATTGTACGTGAGAATTTAGTGTTTATTCTATGATATAGATACTCTATTTATAAACTTCTTATGTCATACTTAAATATAATCAAATATTATATTTATAAAAATATTATATAATTAATTATTATATTATATATATTATATGTATTAAATAATCAATAATAATATCATAATATCACAAAAATATATTAGAATATAGAATAATATATTAATTATAAATATTTTGGATATATTTTATAATATCTTAAATATTTATTATTTTTAAAACTTTAAATAAAATAGTAGACATATTATGAATATAAAAATTTAATTTTATTTCAATAAAAATAATTAAAAATAATAATTTATATAAATAACCATAGTTTCCTTCTGTAAATTGTTAATGATACACTGTCAAAAGATCGTTTATTAGAAAACAGTTCAAAATGTAGTATAATGTAAAAATTAACTAGTTTTTTTAGAACTAAACTTATCCTTATCTCAACTTATATAAAAAAATTATCAACATTTTATCAAGTATGAGATTTTCATGGAATGAGCTTTTGTCTTTTTTGTGAAAGCTTTGAGTTTTTGAGAAAAACAAATATATAATATATAAGAGTATTATTAAATATGAATATTATAAGAATTCTAGGTGAGAATGTGTTTATCTTTATAGGAAGATATTACATTTATATTTTATTTATAAATGAACACATAGAGGTTAGAAGATAATAAAATATAATATTTTAAAGATATTATATAATATTACTATATCATAATATTTTATATTTAGATAATTAATTATTATATTATAATATGTTACATTTAGATATTATATCATAATATCTTATATTTATTAGATAATCTATTATTATATCAAAATATATTTCAACTATAATAAAATTTATTAATAATTATTATATCATAAGATATTAATTATACATATTTTGAAAAAATTTCATAATATCTTAAAAATATATACAGTATTAATTTTAATTATTAAAATTATAAATTATGTTAGGAAGATGAATTGAGTTTGATGAATGTATTTAAATTTCTAATTTCGCAATAATTTATGAGTGAGATTGTTTATAGTATAGAGTGCATATGAAAGGATGAAGTACTAAAAGGCATTAATTTAATTAAAAATGATTACTGGAGTGGGAGAAATCAAAAGCAAGAAAGAATTGATTGTTTTAACTAATCCTATTGTGATTCCATGAAATAACTATAAAGTATTTAACCGAATTACATTAATTAAAAAACTACAGAAACTAAATTTAAGCAATGCAGATTTGAATGATCAAAGTATTAAGTCTTTATCTCATGTATTCTATAATAATGGTATCAAAGACACTATTATGACCTAAGACAATTTTTTATTCAGATGTTTATTAATAAAAGAAAAGACATTTAAATTTTCACAAACACCATTAATCAAAATTGAAAACTATTTATTCTTATATTATAAACTATTAGACAGAAATTTAAAAAATAAAATAAAACTTAGTCTCTCGATTATATTAGTTAGGTTTTATAATATTTTCTTATTAAATTTTAATGCGTATTTTACACACTATTTATGTTGATAATTTTTCTCGCAATCATTTCAAATTATATTTCTTTCTATTTCTTATTATTTTTTATCTCCAACCCTAAATTAAATTATATTAACTCTTCTAAAATTTTCAAGAAGTGGAAAATATGTATATAACAATTTAAGTTATTCATTAGACATAAATAATAATTTAAAGAATAAAAAATATTAAAGACAAAGATCGCTTAAATGCTATGTGTTAAGACAAGATTGTCTAAACGTTACGGGTTAAGTAGGATCGTTTAAACAAACATAGTTTTAAAGTTTAACAAAGTGTCTAAACAAAATAGTGTCTAATAACGTGAATCATCTAGGATATTAAATGTGAGCACTAAACATTTTATTTAAAATGTCTTAAAAGTTATAAGTTACTCAAACATACAACATCTAAACAATAATACATGTACAATGTCTACGACTAAGATCGCTTAATTCTTCGTTAAATGTTTGATATTGAATAAATATTGTGATACTATGCATATAAAGCTATGTTATATTCAATACTCTGATATATCCATATGATTTAATGCTATGTAAAGAAAGCTAGATAACTAGCCCTCCTCTCTGATATACATGAAAATTCTTTCAGAAAAAGATAGCTAAATGACTAGCATGATAGAATTGAATGAACTTATATATACTCTGAACAACTCTATAACGTCTAGCAATATATTTGATACCAATTTTGTGTTAGCATAAATATTTGTTAAACATAAAAAACGGAAAGATTGTTAAGACAAAGATCGTCTAAAAGCTACATATTAAGACCAGATTGTCTAAACGCTACAAGTTAAGATAGAATCGTCTAAGCAAACCTAATATTGAAGTTTAACATAGCGTCTAATAATGTGAATCGTTTAGGATATTAAATGCAATCGCTAAATGTTATATTTAAAATATCTTAAACGTTATAAGTTACTCAAACAGATAACGCTTAAACGATAATACACATATAATTCCTAAATGATTAGGATTGTCTAACACTTTATTACATGTATGTTGTAGTATTCTTTTGTAGGTTTGTTGTGCTCTCTTTTTCTGTGCAGATCATATCAGTACACTTTATTCAAAATCCTGCATCAAAATCAGAAGAACGTTTAGAGAATGAAGATATTCAAGGAATGTTTTCTTCATTCTTTCTACATGTCTCTTCCATTCATAGCACAATTACCTTTACAAGAAGCAACATAGCTTTTGATCTAGTACAAAAGGCTACATCTCTACGTAAAGTCAAAAGCTCTAAGTAACATATTTTTCAAAGAAGCCTATATAAGGAGGATTGTATGAAGAGAAGAAATCAAGAACTAAAAATCAAGAATTATTTTTGCATACTCTCATGCTACTATTATCTCTAAAGCTTACATCATTTAATATTTTTTGTTTGAAAAAGAAAAAGTTCTTTACAAGTTTTCATAATTTCTTTGTATTGAATTTAAATCCTCTATATGAGAATTACATATTTTATTCTTGTAATCCGTAAAACATTGTTGTTTTCTTTCAAAAGTGAAATAAAATACTTGTAAGTTTAACTGAGTGGAGTTAAACAGTCTAGTCGATTAGATTAGTTCATACCAAGAATGGATGTTCATCCTAACTAGTTGGATTGGTTGTATACTAAGAATGGTTAAACTCGTTGTAATTCTTTTTGATTAGTGAAACCTCTTAAGAGTGTTTAAAGAAAATCTTAGTTTAAAACAAACAAATATAAGAATAAGTGTCTTATTGCTTTAATTTTTTAAATGTTTTCTATAAAAGCAATTTTAAATACATATGTATTTAATAACTATTGCAAATAGTCTAATATCATATTAAACATGATTTTGAAAAAAGATTTAAAATTTTATTCAAGTCTCTCCTACAATTTTTTCTATTTACATTAAATAGATGTAAATAGTCTAAGATTTTGAAAATAATAAAAGCAACGAACAATTATTACATTTAATAAGACATAAAAGTTATAAATAAACCATATTCCGTAATGACATTTTAATTAAAATGTAGTTTAAAATAATATTTTTTATTCCAAAATATAATTTGAAGTAAGATATAGTTTGAAATAAGATAGCAATCATTAATTATAGAATAAAATTACATGCTTAAGTAGGTAACTTTTCAAAGATATTTTAAATACATTTTCCCTGGAGTAAGACTAACTATAGTAATCCCAATCTGAAATGTAACTTGAAATAATATATTTTGGTTTTCAAACTTTAAATATAATAATACATTTAGTTAAAAAATGTGTTAAATAATTCAAAATGGTATTTCAACATAAATGTATTTGAAAAAAATTCAATTTTACGTCCAAATTTAAAAGAAAAAAGTGTATTCATTGCAAATATATAAAATTATCTTATTTGAAACCTCAATTAGACTTAAATGTGACTGTGACTACATCACATAAAAATAACATCATTAACTCTTCCTTTAATACAATTTATTTAAATTTATCTTATGAAAGAATATTTATATAAATAGTATAAAAATATTACGTAAATAACTTATAAAATTATAACCATTTATCTATTAATTTTAACTTATACCAATATATTCAGAACCACTTAAAGAATACATTCAGCTTATACAAATGATTTAACACTGTTGGACTAAAATCAATTATACATAAGTGTTTATACACGTACAAATGACTACAAATATTTAGACATAATGTTAATGTTTACGTAAATACATAGTATTGACAGAAAATGAGTCCCAAAATGTTTATATCCTCCCTGTACTTAAAAAACAGTAATCACTGGTTATAAGATGAAAGGACGTTATCCAAGCACGTACATCTTCGAAGATGTTCTAAATAATGTCAAGGTAGGTCGATCTTTCCCTTAACAAGTAAGAAAAATAATGTCAATGAT